GTAATTAGTTCAGGTATTGATAACTGTAGTTGCACCAGCAAGAGGCTCATTTCAGCATCCAGTTGGATGCGCATTTTACAGCCAGCTAGCACTGAATTACGTCTCCATAAGGCCACACTGCTAACAGCATACAAGCCATCTATTTTCTAACTGTTTTTACCTTGCCATAATCTACAGTCACACTTTCAACTGCTAAGAAGACATGCTCAGAATGACACTCATTGCTAGCACGAGAGATGATGAACATGATGGTGACAAGCATCTAGTTCCCAAAATGTCTGTTGACTTCAGGTGTCAACCTAATAATCAATTTTCAAAAGTGTGTACTGGGGACTTCCTGCAGGAAACAAAAGCTTACACACAGTGCACATGTAGTCCTGAAAAGTTTCAAGATGGGCATCTATCTACAAACTGAGGAACACACAATTAGCTGGTACTAAAAGAGATTGACTAAATTTGCTGTCTTTCACATCCACAGGGAAAACACTACCTCATTTACTTAAAATGGAGTTTTTACTGAAGACTTACTGTGTTGCAGGTTTGTACACACAGAAATATTTACATATCACTATAAATACATGTACTGTTCTAAGAACCACAGTGTGATACTTGACTGTATCTTTTGAAGCCATCTGGTCCTTAAAGGCCTCAAATGGCTTCTAGTCTCCTGCAGCAAAATCAGCCCTTAGGGTCTCAGACAATGTCAGTCAAAGTTATTGTCTTTCCTTGAAGTTCCACGGATATATTAGGCCTTCAATATAAAGTTCTCACCAGCCAATGGCTATGCTGAGACCAAGACAAATATAAAAAGGAAAACACTGTTTTGCAGTTCCTTCACACTGTCTTCCTGAAAATCTGGTGAGTTACTACACAGGGTATTAGCGAGTAATCTAACATTGCCTGCTGTAAACTGTTACCCAGAGCAAGCTTAAACACCCTGGGTAGAGTCAAACAATGAAGAGGTTCAATGAAGAGGTCTTAAAAACACCTTCCTTTTCTTTAGCTTGACATGCTAGATACAATTTGGGAACCACTGGCCTGCATGCACGAGACAGACTAGCACGCTGCAAGATTTTAGGTTATAGGGAATGTATTATGCATTAATCTAAGCTTAACATAGAGCAGGCCTCAAGATGAGGTCAAAGGCTAACTCAAATGGTATAAACCTAGTATCTTCCACAGCCACCACTTTTATTTACATGATTTTTATCTTCTCTAATGAAAAGGGTGGTGGTCTGCACTGAGGATAATACCTAGGTATAACTGGCTGACACTCAGATCTTGATCATCCAGCCCTGGTTAACAAACATTGATTTTCTGCCCCAGTGGAAGTGATTTTATTCTGATGCATGCCATTTAAATTCATTTTACACAGCTGCTTAGTGTGGCTTGGCGAGGCAGATGCAAACCAGCCTTCTATGTCTAAATGAGACTCCTGAGCTGGTAAAGGACAGATCCTGTGGATTAACTGCTGAAGATGAATTTCTCTCCCCTACTGATACTTGGCTACTGAGTCAACAAGTTGGCCTTGAAGGGGACCACAACCAACTTGTACAGAAATACTGCTGTGCAACTATGACTCTGGCACAACCATTTCATTTTCTTCTTAATTCTACACAGAAGGGTGTGTTTTATAGTAATAAAAATTCAACAGTTTTTGAACCCTACGGCTGAATCTTGCAAACTCAATGCATTCAGAGAAAAAGGCTGGACACTATTCATGCACTTTGGCATGTAAAAGTGGATATCTTTTCAGTTAGGCAAAGTAGTATGGTGGGAGTGCTCTCCCATTTCACTAATATTTTTTTTTCAACAGGAGAACCAGTAGACTTTTGTTCTAATTTTCTGTTTTGCTTTCTACTTTTTCTGTGTACATATACGAACAAAGTTATTAAGAAAACAAGCAAACAAACAAGAGCAGCTACAGAAAACTGGTAATTAAAACTTGTAAATTACCATGAAGGCAGCAGTAATTTGGGTATTATAGATTTCCTACAGAGGCAACAACTGAAATAACATGATGTCAGGGAAGCCCATGACGCTTGAATCTCAGGTGAAGACAGACTTGGTTATGAGGGAGAAACAGGCTGGGAGCCAGTGTAGATACTTTTTTCCCATTCTGTAATTTATGATATGGTTACAGAAATCAACAGTGAAGGACTCTTTTAAGAAAACAGTAGCTGCATTTCAGGCAAATGTTTTGCAGTGAATACTTAGTGCTTCTAAAAAATTGTTCTAGAGACTAACTGAAAATTTTCAAACACATGCATGCTTAACTGCAGTGTAATAAAACTTTCTTGAAAATCCCATTAAGAAACTCTGGAATCACTCCTGCAGTATACCACCTCTCAGAAAGGGATCATACTTTGGGGGTTCCAGCTCACTGCCTAGGCAGCAATGACAATACCACCACGTCAAGAAAATGTGGTTGCATAGCACTGCTATGAGACAAGAACACCAACAATGAGGAGAAAGAAGATGCCTGGGTCAGGGGGAGGAGAAATCTCATTCTTTCTCAGGGGTGAGGTTCTTCATTTCCCTCTCAGACACGAGGAAATGGAGCCACGCCAAAAGCCATCCAGGGGTGTGAGCGATATGCAGATTTTCATTGTATGTCACAGTGGTGTTAGTAAAAAGAAAACAAAAAACTAAAATCCCCTCTACAATGCAAGTATTGCTGTATCTTCCACGTGATTTTTATATTCCTTCAGCAGCCAGATGGCATGTTCACAAACATCAAAAAAATACCAAAGTCCCACAGCATGTCCAGTTTACACTGCCACCTATGTGTACTGCTCAGGCTGGTGCAGCAGGGGAACCTGAGTGTTGCCATAGTTGGGGCGCTGTGAAGAAAACATGGGGCACATGCCAGCCTCAGGCTGGCTGGGATGAGCAGGTGACCTCATGTGTGGTGGCCTAAAGCAGAACAAAAGAACTGCCTCTTTGAATTTGCTCTGTATCACAAATCTGAATTGCTGTCAAGTACATTCCTTCCATTAGCAAGTCTGGAGGACTTGCAGGAATAGCCAAAAGCCATTACACTTTCTCCCCTACAGTTGATTTGAGATCAAAGTGGAAAACAGTGTATTTGCAGACCAATGGCATCAGAGCAGTGTGACACTTTTGTCTCAATTTGTAGTACATAAACAGCCCTTTTGCCAGTATTTGCAATAGAGATTCAATGACTACTCAGCCCTTCCACAGGTGCTGGATCACTGAAATAGAGAGTATGTGAGGGGAAGGCTCTGAAATGGTACAGGCAGTTAGAAACCAAATGCAGTTTTATAAAACTGACTTGCGAGGAAGGTGTGAGATGGGAGTGGCAATCATATAACCTAGTTTTTGATCAAACACCACACACTATGCCCAACGTGTAAGCTGAATCACAACCAAATACCTTCCATTTAACACACAGTCTTTTTTTGCTGTCAAGCCCAACAAATGTGAGCTTTTCCTTTCATTCTATGATTATAAAGTGTTCCTGCAGCTGCAGTGATGTCCTATTTATTCCTGCGTGCCTGACCTATCAGCTTATAGCCTAAACCAGACAGACAGAAGCAGACTTCTGTAAATCCTACTAGACAGGTCTGTTAAAACAACCAACACAAGCGAGAGACTGCTGGTTCACAGATATCTGCTGCAGTAAAGTCTATTTTAAGGGAGTCTGGTCCTATTTTACTGAACAAGAACATGAAGTACACTAAATTTACTATTAATGTTTTAAAAGTTTGCTGTTGCTTATCACCAGCAGCCACCTGCCTTCCAAACTCGCAAAACAAGAAAATAACAAATACAGGGACACATTAGCTTCCTATTTCTTGTTTTACATTGTGTCTTGGAATTAGAGCGAATTTAGTGTCCACAAACACTGGTCTTGAATGATAAATACCTGTATATGTGCATCTGTGTACATACATGTATGAATCCAAGATGGGTAACACATATGCACATATAAACATGTTCACCAGAACAGTGCAAGCAGCTTTGTGTAATTCTCAAATCACAGAATCACAGAATCAACCTGGTTGGAAGAGACCTCAAAGATCGAGTCCAACCCTACCGTCGTTACTAGACCATGGCACTAAGTGCCACATCCAGTCTCATCTTGAAAACCTCCAGGGATGGTGAATCCACCACCTCCCCGGGCAAATGTAATGGAACTTCTTGCAACAGAAAAAGCTAATAAATATGCCAGGAGTTATTTGAGTCCAGGAAATTACTTCATCTGAAAAAGGCATCTTAAGAACAATCACGGACAGAAAACTGCCTTTACCAAAATCTATGCACAAATGGCAACATGTAGCTATGCTGCTCAAAGGGGAGACAAGAAGATGATGGCTCCAACCTCTACAATCCTGTCTGCAGGGTCTCTCTTATGGATGTGTAAGTGGCAGGCAACAACTCCAGATAACAACTAGAGATGGCTTTTATTCCTCTTTCTGCCTTTCCCCTCCAGCTGCTCCCCTCAGCCTGTCCGCCTCTCCCCCTCTGCATGCCTGCCATCCCATAGAAGAGAACTGCCATCAGCACTGCTGCTCACAATGTGCGCGACGCAAGAGGTGATGGGCAGCTTCATAAGCCTCCTTACTCTCTGGCAGGGGCAAGCTGTTGAGGATATGTTGGCCCTCTCTTTACTGGAGAGTGAAAAAATATAACCAGCTAATCAATTTAAATTTGCAGAGAGCTTGTTTTTGAATCCTAATGTCACTGCAATCCTCTGGGTTTTCCTAGAGCCTACAGTGCCAAGAACTAAACTAGAAGTGTCCATCACCTCCATTGTCACAGCTGCTTTTTAAGAGGATAATTCAAACACATGACAGCATGCTTTCCCCTTATGTTTAAGGAAAATTACTCTTCTCACACATCATCTCCTCCCAGAGATAAGGGCACAGATAGAACATGTCTAAATGCATATTTACACACCTATACAGTGACATTAGTTCAGAAATGGCAAGAGAAACATTCCTACTTATTTAAACACCTTTCACCTGAACACATACCTGCTCTGGGCGGAGTTTGCAGCAGCCTGCATCACTGCAGCAGCCGCCTCCTGTGCCTTACGGTTCACAGTTGGCATGGGTGGGCCCATCCCGGGGCCTCCCTGCTGAGACATGCCAGGAGAATTGGGGGTCATACTGCTCATGTTTCCAGGAAATGGTCTGCTCTGCATCCCAGCTGATGGCATCCGTCCCAGCGGCATGGTACCACAAGGCTGGCTTGGCCCCTGTCCATGCATCTGACTGTTGGCATTTATACCCATGCCGGGCCCTGGGCCGCTGTAACTTGTGCTGGGCACACCGCTGTATGTCGGTGGTCTGGAGTAGTTTCCTGAACAAAATGATAAAAAGCACAGAGAAAAACATTAAAACTTTTAAGCAAATATTTCTATTTAGGAAGTTAGCAGCTGCAGAACTTACACATGTGAATTAAAGTGAACCACACTGGCCTCAAACTCAGGACAGCTTTTTTACCACGGAGGGCAGACAAGCAGTGGAACAAGCTGCCCAAGGAGGCTATGCAGACTCCCTGCTTGGAGGTTTTCAAAATCCAGCTGGATAAAGCCATGAGTAACCTGCTCTGATTCTACATCTGACCCTGATTTGAATACAATGTCAACCAAGAACAACTCCTGAGCAACCTTACAACCTGAATGAACCTATGAACCTGATTTTTCTGTACCCTCAAACATTTTATGTCTAATATATGTAATGAGGCAACAGCAAATACAGAAAAGCAAAGTCTCCAGAGGGTTAACAGCATAGCACACAGTACACAACTGCCTTATGCAGTAAAGAGAGATGTGTCATGTAAGAAGTCCATTACATATGCTCAAGAGAGAATCTTATTTTTGTAATTTCATGTTCTCATTCCTTTGTCTTTCTGCGATTTCATCAACAGGCTTCTTGCTCCTATCCATTCTGCTCATTTGTGTCCGAGGTGATTTGGCATGGACTGGTGAGGATGGCTGATGGGCCCTGAGAAAGATTTCTGCTCCCTCCTGCCCTACTATGCTTTCCTGGTAAGTTCAGTTTGCCTGTGCCAGCAGAAGGGGTGGTAGCTTACAGTGCACCTCCTCTGGGAAAACTAGTATTACATGAGTAATCAGCAATAGCACAAAAACACTAATATAAGCAGGTACCCTATGAAGGCTGGCATGAAAACCTGGCTGACCCCAATCTGTGCTGTCACTGGAGCAGGGTGCTCTGCTTGCAGCAGCTTAACTCATTCAAGTGCTGATTTTTCTGTCATGTTGAAATCTCAAGAAAAAGCGAGTGTACAGCATGCAGTGTTACAGAAACAAACCCAAGCAGCATGAGAAAGAGGAAAAAACCTCCCTAAAGATATGATAAAAAAACTATTTTAGGAAACGGATCACATTGCACTACTTCAGTCATCAGTTTTGACTTGTCTTCATTTCCATCTCATCCAGATTAGTGGAAACACGACCCATTCCCTCCCTGTGGGATGCCACAGAGCAGAGTTTCCTGACTACTCTCACATATTCCCACGCTTGTTCGAATGCAGAAGCCCTTAGACTCTTCCTCTGAATGTGGAGATCAGTCATGTCTCTCCTCAGGCCTCAGCTACCAGGCAGAGGAGTTGGTGGCATGCAACTCCTGTTTATATTTAAAATAAATATATTCATCTATCATTTGAATCCACACATAATTAATTCATATACTCCTGCTGCTGTGCTTTGGCTAATCCTCCTCCCCTCCCAGTAAGTGACTCACTCTGCTACAAGATCTCCTCGGCGAGAATGTGTGAGACCTACGCTTCCCAAGGAAATGGAGCAACCATTCTCTTCTGTTTTAAAAACCAAGTTTCTGCCTGGGGGTCCTCACAGAAGGATCCCCAATATGTGGTTCAACAGAGATGAAAGGCTCCAGATTCAGCTTTATGCTGGCTTCAGACTGCGCTGTCACTTCTCCTCCTCCTCCTCTAGGCTTGGCCGCTGGCAGCTGACTATTCTCTGTTCAGAGAGCCATTGCCCCCAGCCAGAGTTTTGGCTGCTGAGACCAGAAGCCATGCTTCTGAGCCAACCTGTGTGACTACAAACTGAAGGGCTGAGTAGTTTCACACTGCTCTGCTATACATTACAGGTGTAACACAAAACTTACATGTTGCTTTGGTTATGCAGCTGCTTTGTGCAAGAAAAATGTAATGCAGCAAGAGGGTGTATATGTGCACTCAAAGATTATGCACAGACAGTTAACACATCTTATGTACATGCTATTAGTAACACTGCTTCCCAAAGTGAAGCAAATTCCCTCCCTAGACTAGCAGACCTGATATCCATAATCACTGGGAGCTACTGTCAGTCCAATTTACATAAAGCCAATTTGTTTTGTCATTTAGGGTCTACGAAGTACAGTTCAGCAGCATGCTTGGAGGAGCAAACACCAATGCTAAACACTTGCTGTTTTGATGCTATTTTGAATTGGGACAAAAAAATCTCTTCTTTCATGCTTTGGCTTTTCCAGCATAAGCACAACACAGAAAAAAACTAGTGGAATCTTCTCCATAAAAATATGTGGCTCAGTTAAAATAGCTCCGAGTCATTCATCTCCAGGGATACACGTCCAAGAGCACAGGGAAGTCGCATCTTTTCAGTAAGGAAAACAAGTTTCAATGTTTTTTCCTTGGTTTTTTCCCCTAAGCATTTCCTCAATACCTCAAGTACTAGCTATTCTTATACCTTTCCCAGACCACAAAAAAAAAGGCAAAATAAAAGCCAAACAAAATACAAGAGGAATTGCCAGGAATGAGGAGTGCAATCTTATTTCCATGTTTCTCTAATAGATTAGTAATTTGTTGGCAGTGGCTTTGACAGAAAACAGATGGATGCAGCATTAAACACAATGAATGCAGCAGATGCTAGGCCAGCCCACATCAGCTGGACGTGTCAGGCAGCCAAGTCCAAGAGCCCACACTTTTCAAGTGGGTACAAGCCTGGCAACAGTGGCTGTACAATACTACTGAACAACTCCTCCCCTCCATATCTGAAGATTCCAACTCCCCCTTGGCAGAGTAGAATTGTACCCAGAGAAACAACATCTCAAATGCATGAGAAAAAACAAAGCAGTAACTGGAATGAGGAAGAAAAAAAAAGTGTAATGAAGAAAAAGCATAAAAAGCGGATGAACTACTTGCCAAAGACAGATGTTCATACTTATTGCTGAAACTCTGGTCCACTTTGTCCAGGTTTGCTGAACAAAGTGCTCTGATATGCTGCCATTTCTAGGCAAACTGAAAAGTGGGAAATTTGAGAACTACCTGTCAGCTTTGCTCTCTGCTTTAGAGACACAGGTCAGAATCACAGTATTAAAAATACTATCTTAAAATAATTTTAGAATTTTTCACATGTGCACTTAATCATCAAGTTTTTCTTGTACAGACAGTTTAAATGCATTGTTCTGAATTCCTCTAACTATTTCACCTTGGGGATATCAATAGGTACAGCTGATACTTAAGTCCTAACTCCACAGGCTGTTGCATATGTGGGTCTGGATTTGGAGGTCCAGAGTCTCAAGATACTTAGGGCATCTCACCCTTAAGATGCCCCCATTTTAATTAAAATCTATGATTAAAATCAGCAGGAGCTAGATAGCAAAGTGTTTTGTGAAACAAGTCCAGAATTAAAGGTTACAAAGCACAAATACTCAATTCATACCACTTTACCATGAACAAAAGGGGGCTTAACTTACTGTGAAGTTCTGGGGTTGGAGTTCAAACATATTTGGTAGCAATTCCTCTCATTGTTATACTCAACTAGAACAGTTTTACTGCTGAATTGAGTAGGAAAAGTTAGGGAGACAGGATGAATTTCTGAGACGCTTTACTGATCCACAGAAGTTTTTCTCTTGCCCCAGTCTTAAAAGATACAACTGACTACAGCATCTGACTGCTCTCCAGAGTGCACTTAAGGGACATTTTGCTGTGGCAGCAGTCTGACGCTCGGGTCATAGACCAGAGCTTCATTAGCCTGGAGCTAGATCTTGTCCAAATACAAACCAAAGAGACTGCTTTTTTCACTTAACGACTTCCATTCTGGCTCTGTTTTTTGGGTTTTATATTTTATTCTTGGGGACAGGAAAATGCTGGGATTTAATAAAAAATTAAAACTAATGTTCTGTACTGCATGCTTCTGTGTTGTATCCTAGACACAAAGAACTGTGAAGCCAAAGCCATTTATTATTTTTGTAGGAAATGGTTTCACAGAATTGGACTAGGTCCCCAGTACAGAACTGCTTCCTGGGAAAATATATTCTGCTCTTATTATAGATCTAAGTGTCATGTAAACACATGAAAATCAAATAAATCAACCATAGGCATGATATTGGATCATTCTGCTCTCATGAACTGAGGGCTGATTCTTCCAATCCAAACTTACTGGTGTAGTCTTTACTATGGTGAGAGCAGAAAGGACACTAGCCTTGAGTAATGATTTTCAGGACAGCACATAGTGAAATCCAGCACTCAAAGATGAATCAAAAGCTTAGTGTCCAGAATGCTTTGATGCATATATAAAAATACAAGTAGTCCTGTCGAACTCAGCCTATGCTTCACAATATTCTGGAGGAGGGTCTATGTGAACAAAACATGGAAAACAAGTAAAATCTTTGAGAATTACTTTAGTTTAATAATTGAAGAACTTGGTTGCAACCCAGATCATTTTGAAAATATTAGTTATTTTGACAGTAAAAGGCAAATGCGGTAACCTTATTATATATTCATCATTGCTGGTGTACGATTGTGCTTTGTGAGAGGATATGTTAAGAGTTGCAATTACAGATTACTTTCATTAAAAATGAAAAATGCTATTAAAAGCCTAAACCCAGGTAAATACATGAGTTGGAAATATCACCATCTTCATCCCTGGACTGTACTAATGGCCAGATTAGTCTGCTGAAAATGTAGCATTCTTCTGGTCTAATTGTTACCTATAGAGCTGAAAATCTGCAAGGCCTGAATTTTATGATGACCAGTGCACAGGATCACTGGTACTCTCCAAGAGCTGGCAGAAGAACACATTTTTCATCCATCACACTGTTCACCAAACCTTTCTGAAATGGCCTGTTAATGACAATGATGCTCATTTTCTTCCTGTCCCTCAAGTTCACTTTTTAATAGCTGTTTCTTCCTGACCGTGACCCATAAAATCATTACATAGGCACTTTCATCTACAGAGGGAGGAAAAGAACTGCTGAACTCAAGCAAAAAAGAAAGTAGTATTCGGCGTGTTACTTAAATGCATTGATTTAGTACAAAAACCTTTCCATTCAATCAGTGTGGATGGCTAATGTTTTACTGCACTTGACACCCACTATTCCCATGGTTCGGAATCTCAGCAGCAGCAGTACAGCTGGAAGTCAGGATAGCACATCATAAATCCACTGGATTTTTTACCAGTTAAGCTAGTTGCTCACTGTGCAGATAAAAATAAGCACTTGGACAGCATTTTATGGCCACAGAATGCTTCCCAAATAAAAGGAGAGCACCAGTCAACTGAAGTTAGGTAATTAATCTTCACACATGGCTATAAGGCATTACTAGCCCCATTTTACAGTTAAGGAAAGCGAAGCGGCGAAATGAATCTACTAGCCTAAGTTGAAAGATGATGTAAAAGGCAGAGCCAAAATTAGAAACTGGGAGATCTTGGCTTGTAGCCCTGTGCTCAGAACACGAAACCAAACGCTACCCAGAGATGAAACAGAGAGGAACATTGCACAGGGCAGCAAGGCTCCCTGCAAACAAACATCAGAACTAGTTCTCAGAAACTCTGGAGACTAAAATAACCATCCCTGCTAGCATGGGCAAGTCATTGAGCCTTTACAGAAATTCCCATCACTGGCTCCAGTCCTTTTTGAGATTTTAAAGTCAGAAAGCAATAGTAGGAAGTGCTGAAATAGAAAAGCTTCTTTATGTACCTTTAAAGAAAATACTGCCCCTTATATATTACCTGGCTTGAATTCAACTTCATTAAACCCCTAAACAGATGCATATTTTATAAAGGTTATCCATGAAAGGTGAAACAATAGACAAGTTCAAGGCTGTCTAGGGGCAGAAATTGTGTATTCTATTTTTATTTTACTCCCCCACGAAGTCTGTCAAACAAGCAAAATAAAAGGAACCATCTCTCTCAGTCTGAAGGGTTAGTTAAGATTCACAAACCATATGCATAAAAGCTCAATATTCTATTTCCACAGTAGCCACTGTATTATTATGCTCATTAGAAGACTTTACCCTCACAGTCATCACGCAATTTCAGGTTGGCCTTGGGATTTCATCCAAGAAAAGAAGTCCTATTTTGGGATCAGTGTTGTAACCCTTATTCCATGCTTGCTCAAACGTGGCCTCATCACAGAGATGATATGCTTGGGCTCCTAAACAATGGACCTGGCAATGCCACAGATTCATTTCCTTGCCTAATTTAAGGTCACTATTTTTATACAGAGAAAAGTGCTAATAACAGAAACAGATTCTTCCACAAGGTGCAGCTCCACCTTTGGGTGACAGCTTTATTTGTTTAGGCTTTTTTTCTTTTTTAGGGAGAGTGTTGTGCATTTTTTGCTTTTAAGAAATCACATACCTACCTACCTACATGATACATATATATGTATCTCTATTATCAGCAAGCATTTTACCTTGTGGTCCATACTGGCTCATCTGAGGCCCATAAGTACCACTTGAATTACTCTGCTGAAAGCTACCAATTCCAGGATGCACTTGGCCTCCAGGTGAGGGGTGTGGTGACATGGAAGGTCCGGTTTGCTGAGGTCCATACTGTGACATTTGGGGGTTCCTCTGTATGCCTGCCATAAAACCTAAAGGGAGAAAAATGCCAAAGCAAAAATTAATATTCAGGTAACTAGTCCTTATTTTTAAGAAATCTTTGGCATTAAAATAAACCAACACCCTTTATTTTCAGACTAAAGATACCCAGAAAACTGCTGTTGTCCATACAAACAGAAACAGACTCATCTCCAAGACAGCAAAGCACAATGTTTGAAAACCTTTACTTGTAAAACAAAGACAGTGATCGTTACAAATCATTGTCAACTTTAAATTAAAACAATTTTTAGGGAAAAAAAGTAAAGACACTTCTCTGCATTACTTAATTAAGAGTTGGGAATTTGCCTGATGACTTACGGTGGTAGTATGACATCTTCCAAAATTGTATGTTGCTACCAAAATGCCTAACTTCAGCATATAGAAACCCACTGTAAGTACTCCTATTGCCCACAAAGTCCCTAGAGCTAAAATTTACCTCTATGTGAAGACTAGTCACAGCAGCCCAGAAGTAACAGATATTTTGTTACGTATGTCTGCTCTAAGTCCTTCTTCTAGTCTGTCCCTAGCACACCTCTTAACTGCATTCTCTCCTTTTTCCCTTTTGTAAATGTATCTCTATTTAATTTAAGGTTCAAAAACTGCAGCAAGAGACCTATTGAAATGCTATATAATTTAGAAGCTTCAGATAAAGTAACAGAATTAAGCCCATCAAATGGGAGAAGTAGAGGGTTTTGTGGTGGCGTTTTTTAAGTTTTCATGAACTGGGAAAAATCCTGCAATCCTGCCCATGAAATGTCTGCGTAGGGATGCTGATTTTCTAATGTTTTATACCTTGGAAGGTTTTAGTGCTGCTTTCAATGTTGAAGAGGATGGGCTGAGGAGATGGCAAAGTTTTATTTTCTTATTTCTGGAGGAAATCTGCTTTCTTTTCTGTTCTGCTTTAACATTAAATTTCATCTTCACATTTCTCTGAGGCACAATGCACATACTGCAAGGACAGCATTCCCTCTGCTGCTGCTGTGCCCGGTGAGGAGGGAGTCACAGCATGCTGAAGCCCAGTGGGCCAATGTGCACAAGCACAAATGCCTTTTGGCCCATCCTGCAACCAGTTCAGGCACCTGCTCTTAGAGGCCACAGAGAGCTGAAGCAATATTTACAAGAAGTGCCTGTCTCCACTCCCCTCTATTAATTTTAGTGGTGTGCGTGTGAGGAGGTGTAAAGTCGAAAGCCAAGAGACACCACACCTGGCAGCATTACTTACATCTTTCACTACATGAGGGAGGGAATAGAAGAAGGATAGGAGCAAAACTGGCAGTGAGTGGGCAACTGGAAGCTGCTGAAGGGAAGATCAGAAGAAGAAGGGAAAAGTGAAGAGTGAGGCAAAGACAAGATGTGAAGATGCACACGGGTCACAGCAGGAGGGAGGGGAGACAACAGGATAACTCTCCCAAAGGGCTGGGGTGTCTTCCCACTAGTTAGCACCAAACATCACACAGACCAAACACTAAATGCCTGACTAATGAAGAGAGGCAATTTTCTCTGAGCCAGACAGATACATGATCAAACTCATAACTGAAAACGTTAAGGTGCAGGTTGTAAGGAGAAAAACCAGGAGCTGAGATGACCTTGCACTCCTTTGTGCCCAGTTCTTTCATGCTATGAACTGCAAGCCCCAAGACAAGGAACTTGATCACACCTGAACTGCAAAGTCAGAGACTGCCACCTGCTCTGGAGGGAGCCAGAACGCACACACTGACACATGACATGACAAACAACTGAGGGTGAAATGGTAACTTGGAAACTGGTCTGTACTGGTTGGAAAACTTTACACTTCTGCCAAGGAGAGCTTGCACGACCTTCCCCACTTAGCCTTATTTTGAAACAGAATCCTTGATTTTTAAATGGTTCCACTCTGCGCACAAATCTTATTACAACGCCTATGTCTTCTGCTGACAGTGCTGTAACTACTTTAGAAACCTAATACAATTGTATGTCTGCATGAAATAAATGCCCACGTTCCCAGCACACATACACCATATATATCACACTCATGGGATACATTTAAATGAAAAAATTTGTACTGGTCACACAAAGATTTTTATTATAAAGACAGTAAAGTTACTCCTGTACCTAATACAGAAGTGAGGCTTTTCTGTTCACTATGGGCCTTTTAATCTATACGAGCTGACCTTCCAAACATTGTGCTACTGATTAAGGTTTTTAAGCCCAGTTATTACTGCAGGCAGCACTTTTCTTAACACCACAAGGATGGATGGCACACTGAAAAGCTACTGGTAAAGTAATTCCCAGCAATGATGCAGAGGGACTGCTGGTTGTTGAAGCTAATGGAGAACACGGACTAATGACTATCAAAAAACATGGAGAATATCAGTTTTAGCCAGCTCTGCTGTTGTCAGAAAGGCTTCTGAAGGGACTAGAGTAATAAGTGAAATAAGTGTTTCTACTCAAATGACCTATTCTTCAGTAAACTTCTCCTCATCCATTTCTGATGCTGTGGAATGGACTGTGCAGCTATGTGTACAGTCATAAATAAAAGATGCCAGGAGGAGAATGGTGGTACTCGTGCCTATCCAGATAAACCTTCCCACTCAGCCCTGGCAGTCTTATCAGTATGACTCTTGTGCACAGTCCCTTGTTGTGCCTTACCTATGCCCTGGGCTGTGGCTCAAGGAGTGCTCAAAAGTGATTCAAGAACAGAGACAACTACAGGATACTACACAAGCTCATGCTCTAGCCTTAGTTTACAGAGATGCTGATTAATACAGCAAGAAAGCAACAGACTACTTAACTGGTTTTGATATTGGACATGAGTTTCACCATTGGCTTTGTTATCTTCTCTTGAGAGAAGATAAAGAAGTAAGACAGGTAAAGACTTAAGGAAAAGGAAGCCTGAAATCAGGAACATCTGGGCCATATTATCTTCTGTCACTGTCTGCCCGGTATGGTGAAGCATGGCATTAAAATGGGACTAACATTCTTCCAGAGAGCAGAGGAGTCATTTCAGCTACAGACGTGATGTGGAGAAGGTAAGAACAGGTTTTTACTATGATCTGGATTCCATTCCATTATAGAGGAGTCTATCCTCATCAATGTCTGTGAGATGCCAGTGAACATTCAGAGATCAGTGCATGAGTTTGATGTGTTTCAAATATTTGCAGAAAACTCAGATGTCTTAGAAAGAAAAGGGTTCCTGGTCAAGACGTTACCATTCATGCATCATAATGAGAAAACAACATCAATTCTAGAAATCTTATCAGAAATGAAAGGGAGCAGCTGGCATACATTCATTTTTCCTTATTTACACACATTTTCCCTAGTGTTCAACTTCATTTTATAGATGATACAAAAAGAAATAAATTTTCTTCACAGAAAATTAGATCTAAGATAAAGATTTCTTTTGTAAAGAAAGGAAGGAGGATTACATTAGAGCAGAACTGGAGTCCTGGCAATGGAGTGATTCAACAGCTAGACTGCATCTGACATGTCAACCTCTGTGACAACAAGGTGGGTTGTTTTGTCTTTTAAATAAACTGCTAGGAAACAGGTATGAGTTAAGACCTTAAACACACTCATCAGTGAACAAATCTACTTTCTTCCCTTAATATTAGTTATGAAAAGAGGTAGAGATGATGCTTTACTTGCCATCACAAGAGATTATTTATTGAAAAACACTTGAGTGGATTTTGGCAAACTAAACTATTTCACAAAACGTTGAATAAAGTGACCCTGGCAGAAGCATTCTCTACCTTTTTAGCTATTTTTATTCTACATTTACGTACCTAAAGAATTTTTGTCTTTATTAAAAACCATTTTAACATTGCAGAGTCATAGTTTCATTTTTTTTCAGTTCTAAATGAATAGTAGCATATTATTAGCAATTATCATACCATAATGATAGTAAAATATGCTTGCATGTTCAAATAGAACATGTACACAATGTTTAAAAGTGTTCAGGTAGCAGGAGAGGAAAAAAATAAACCAAGTAAGGCCTATGATAGAAGTGTTTCTCCTTCTTTGATGAAGGAAAAGACAAAAATGAAGCTTCTGTTGTCCAAAACAGCACTAACATCTGGTAATATACATCACATAGCTAATACCACTTATGATGCCTTTTTAAAAAACATTTAAAAACTTGTCTTTCCCTTAGGCACAAAACAGATAACAGTAAATTACTAAAGCTTCATGAAATTACGCACTAAGATTGTCTTAATTACATTTGTACACTGACCAATACAAAACTAAGATTGTCTTAATTACATTTGTACATTGACCAATACAAAATCATCTGTTTCTTGAATACTATCTCCTTAGCACTAACCATGTAAAACACCCACTGAATGTTCTGGGTATTGCTGTAAAATCTCAAATGAATTCTTTTGATATTTTAAAGTCTTGGCTTGAATAGGAAAAAACCTTGCAGAAAAGTAGTAGAAGCTCAAACACAAAGGAAGTGACTGCAAAGGAACAAGTTACTGCGTATCAGCTGATGGACAGCAAATGTCTACTGGCACACACTTAACCCACAGTCAATGGAGGTCTTTTGATTTAGCCAGGAGTAGTGCATCGATTTTCAGGAATGAATTAAACCTGAAAACACGTGGAACACTTACTCATTTTAAGCTCAAGAAAACTTTGGAGTTTACAGTGATAGCAGATCATCATTAAATTACACATCTGGTAGGTAAAAAGATGAGGAAAGGTACACTGAGCGACAGTATACTGCAAAAATGAACTTACCTAAGAAAAAATATATCAAGCTGTCTCTGTTTCTAGAGGGACATGCTTAGTGACAGAGCATGGGACCAAACAAGTGACAAACCCTTCTGAGTTCCCCTTGCTCAAGGGCACAGGCTGAAGAAGGCTTATTACTCTGAAAATCATGGAGTGAGAAAAGCAGAAACAGACTGGATGCATGCACTAATCATCAAATAATTAGAGAAAAACAACATAAAATTCTAAACTTATGAATCAGTTCAAAAAAATTAAATATGTGAAAAGATGTATTTTCCAC